ATATATATATATATTATTTTACATATGTGGTACACATTTGTACATTTATAATATGTTTCTTTGAATATCACAAAAGCAAGTTTTTTTTTGTTAAAAGAATAATAAAAATTATGAGTTTATTTTTTGAATGTATTAATTATAATTCATAATATATTTAAATAAATGATTAATTTGTTATTTATAAATAATATTTTATAACAACGTATATTCTATTCATAAAGTTTATTTTTACATATTTCATGTTAATTTCTACATGCGTAATGTGTTTATATTTTTTATAGCCTGGTTTCATTTGTTGCCATTAAAACACTGTTTTTGACTACCACAAAGCAAAACTGAAAGGTTGCTTTTTGAAAGAAAAAAAAGATGATTCATACAATTTATTGGTTTATTTATGTACTTTATTATATTTTTAACAGCATTGCTATGTTGATCTACTAGCTATTGACCAGCATTGACCATCACAATCCAGCCTGAGCCAGCATGGGACTTCACGCTGATTATTTCAGCATGGTAAAATGAGCTGAATTCTGTCTGTAAATACAAATAAAATGGACAAATGCAAGCGCAGTACAGTAGCTACAGAGCACAACTGCAAACCTTGCCTTTAATCTGCTTTCATACTCTGCTTGTGTATCATTGCATGTGTACTTTTTGTTTTCTTAAGGGATTGTGTGCTTCAAGAAGAATCTGTTAGAGGAGAGAAATAGAATAAGCTGTCGCAACAAACAAGAAACATAGTAAAGTTAATTTCAATTGAAGAGTTCCCAAGGCCTGTAACAAAATAAAACTCGGATTAGATGTGGGAAGTCGAACGCACACGGCGGCGTGTGTTGCGAGGCCATGTTGCGATTTATCTCCCCTGCTGTAAATAATTGCGTGTTTGGAATTATACCGGAGGAGACGTGGTGTGTTTGATGCACTGTCAGATTGCGTTTCGTGGTTGGAAATGGATTATAAAGCAGCACTTAATCAATTTCCAGTGCAAGTTGTGCGCCGACGTCCTTGTAAAGGTTCCCTGTCCGTAAATTGTTGTAATTATGACTTAATCTGTGAAATTTTCCATATATCACCACACCCCAAAACATTTTGCCATACAGGTTTTTCAAGAGTCGTATCTCATGGAAATAAAGTGTGTTTATGACCCGAGAACGGTATGGTAATGTGCCATAAAAATAGCCGAAAGTGTGCGCCGCTACTCTAGGTAATGATCGGATAATTTATGAAGGCCGGGGATCATCAGAGGTGGGCATGGTGAATCGCATTGTCCTTCCCTGCGGAGCATCTGTCATGATGAACGGGGGATGACATCAAACTTGTGCTAATCTCTCACCTTGTTGAAAGTCATACGCTCAGGCTCCTCTTCGTTTTCAGTCTGGAAAGCGGAAGATTTCTGCTCGTGTTTCATGAGTGAGACCCAAACTTGGGTTGGGCGCTCATACGATGCAAACATTGAGCCTTGGTGCTCATATGGGAAATTTAGGTTCGAATCTGGCTGTAAAACGTGTTTTCTTTTCGTTCTCCCTCTACAGCAGAAGATGATCCCTGCCAGACCAACCCGTGCCTGCATGGTGGGAGCTGTTTGACCGAGGGGGAGGGATACAGTTGCCTGTGCCCTCAGGGCTATTCGGGAGAGAGCTGCGAGATCGGTAAGTGGATTAAGAGAGAGGTCGGGGTCGGGACAAAAGAGGTCAAGGACGTTTGAAGGAGCCCACTGCAGCTTTAGAAGTGCACTCGAATTTATGCACACAGCTAAAATTGGATATAAAACCAATGCAAGCATCTCTTTTGAAGGTTATGCCTTTGACCCTTGATGTAAAACCAATGAATACGATTATTAGCAAGACGAAGACCTACAATGTTCGCCAAAATTTAATTTACCAGCATCTTGATCAGATGTCATCGTTTTGGTCGGAGGTTATAAAGGAACTGTAGGTTAGGGAAATTGTAATAAAAATACCAGTGCCGAGGTAAATGAACATAATATACAAAAAAATAACACATTTTTAAAAATATATTGTTGTTGTTGTTGTTGTTGTTGTTGTTGTTGTTAGTTATACATTTATTTTACCGTTTGTCACTTTTTGCAGGTTTTTATTTATTTATTTAGTTTTTTTCATATTAATTTTAGTAGTAGTAGTAGTAGTAGTAGTTGTTGTTGATGATGTTGCTGGTAGTAATAAAATAAATAATATATATTATTAGTGAATTAATTTTTGTTATCAGAAATAACAACAATAATAATAACAAATGAGATACTGTTTGGTAGAAGTTGCGATGCAGGCACTTGATGTATTGAAGCTCTTTTGTAATCAAGCATTTATCATGACAAATGACTATTATCCACTTATATTGTTTGTAGTGTTGATCATCTAAGCAGTCGTTTCCATCTCAGGATGAGCTCCATTCAGGGTCCTCTGAGACCATGATTAGTGCGTGGACTTTAGTGAGAAAGTTTAGTGCTATTTCTGTCATCCGTGTTCCATTGTTTCCTTTGTTGTGGTTGTTTATCCATCCTTCTACTCGTTCTCCTCACGTAAAAAGTCACTTCATGCGTCTTGATTGATCAGATCACTGAAAAAAAAGGTGTAGAAAAATTTTTAACTCAGAAATGACTAGTTTCACAAGCATTTACAAAGAAACGTCAAGTATTTTATTGAAAACATTCTCCAGTCATTTTTATTTACACTTTGCAAAATTGATTTATTAGAAGTAGTAGTATTTACTTTTTTTTATTAATTATACATTTATTTTTACTTTTGTCACTTTTTACTGTTTTTATTTCCAGTATTTTTAAGTTAATAAGAATTTTATTTTAATGAACGTATTTGTCATTTTTTTATTGCCACTTTATTGGCAGAAACAGTCATTTTAGTTATTAATACTGTTTTTAATTATATTCCTAATTTTATTTTATTTAAATTTTTTGCCACTTTTGTGCTATTTTTATTTTATTTAAAAAAAAATTTTTAAATAATACTTTTTTATTTTTGTCTTATTTTTTTATGTTTTTGTTTTATTATTATTGTTTTCATCATTTTCTTTTTACTGACAGAAACTTTTATAAACGGTTTAATTATTGTTATTATTTTGTTTAATTTTAATTAATCATTTTTACTATTTTATTTAAAATGTATTCTTTTTTATTTTAAGTATTTCTTTATTTTGTTGCTTATTAATTATTGTTTTTATTATTTTCATTGTCCCTTTTCATTAACTAAAGTAGTAATTTTTTATGATTTGAATTTTTGTCACTTTTTAACTATTTTTATTTAAAATGTATTTTTTTCTTTTATTTGTCATGGTTTTAAACTCTTTTTTTTATCATTTTCATTTCTTTTTACTGACAGAAATAGTACTGGGATGAAAGAGAGCGGGAATGGGAACCGAAAACATCTTAATACACCTTGATCGATCATATAACTGTCCAATTATGTGTGTACATTCCATTTACACTTGGAAAATGGATCTAGATCCAATCTACTAATCCACAAATCTTTCCTTTAAGTGTTCTCCTTGTCCTATTTTGGATAAGTATTTGAGTTTCGAGGTTCCTCTGTCTACGATTGCTTGCTCACTTGTGCATCACGAAACTCCCAAATGTTCCATGCTATCGTAATTCAGTTTGGGATGAATAAAGCTTACATATGTGTCCTGAATAACCACATGCATTTACACCTCAAACCACCTACTGAGGTATTTTCATATTATCCACTGCTTAGGGAAGCAATCTCCATCGGGACTAGCGATCTGTGCAGGAAATGGCCTACGTCGTGACTAATTGTTTGGGACCTGAATGTCTTTTTCCCCCTGCACCGTTTCCAGCTTAGTGACAAGAGCTCTCCATCCTCTCAGAAAATGATCCGTTTGACGGGATTTGGGATGAAAAAGCTCTCGAGTGGGCGCTGAAGAGTTCATTTCATCACGATGATGACGAGGAGTCCTTGAACTCTGTCGCTCTCGTGGAGTTGTGTGCAAGAGGAGTCTCCGGTCCGGGCGGCGTTCATTAAAATTGGTCAATGCGGATCTTTATGTCATCGTGCACCGCGTGAAGAATTCACAATATCCAGGCTGCCTTTGAGCGCTCATGAGAGAGCGGGGGAATGTTTATCTGCTCTTACTGGCTATGAAGCAGCAGTCACTCATGTGTCATATACTTGTCAATCTCAGCCATCCAGCTGGGGGTTTCTGCTGGCTGTTGTCTTTGGACTAAAAGAACAATTGACTGCAAAACGTGAAGTATTCACTGTGTCCGACTTTCAAATTTTGTCCTTCATGGAGTTCTTTGTATTTCGTTTTTGTGTATATGTGGATTTTATGTAGTCGTGGTTTAATTTTTGTCACTTCGCGGTGTGAGCAAGGCCTTGAGCCTGTTTCAAAAATGAATAATTTATATATAAAAAGCAATGGGTGGATGAATATTTAGCTTCAACATGATTTTGGTAAGTTTTAATGTCTGCTGTCTACTACCCTGTTGAAAAGACCAGTACATATTGTATTATATTATATGTATAACCTTAAAATGTTTCTTGCTGGACAAAAAGGACCATTATAATTGTAATAAATTATTATAATATATAATAAATATGTAAAATAATACAATACACACACAAGCACACACACGTATACAGTATATTATTATATATATATATTATATATATATATATATATATATATATATATATATTATTTTACATATGTGGTACACATTTGTACATTTATAATATGTTTCTTTGAATATCACAAAAGCAAGTTTTTTTTTGTTAAAAGAATAATAAAAATTATGAGTTTATTTTTTGAATGTATTAATTATAATTCATAATATATTTAAATAAATGATTAATTTGTTATTTATAAATAATATTTTATAACAACGTATATTCTATTCATAAAGTTTATTTTTACATATTTCATGTTAATTTCTACATGCGTAATGTGTTTATATTTTTTATAGCCTGGTTTCATTTGTTGCCATTAAAACACTGTTTTTGACTACCACAAAGCAAAACTGAAAGGTTGCTTTTTGAAAGAAAAAAAAGATGATTCATACAATTTATTGGTTTATTTATGTACTTTATTATATTTTTAACAGCATTGCTATGTTGATCTACTAGCTATTGACCAGCATTGACCATCACAATCCAGCCTGAGCCAGCATGGGACTTCACGCTGATTATTTCAGCATGGTAAAATGAGCTGAATTCTGTCTGTAAATACAAATAAAATGGACAAATGCAAGCGCAGTACAGTAGCTACAGAGCACAACTGCAAACCTTGCCTTTAATCTGCTTTCATACTCTGCTTGTGTATCATTGCATGTGTACTTTTTGTTTTCTTAAGGGATTGTGTGCTTCAAGAAGAATCTGTTAGAGGAGAGAAATAGAATAAGCTGTCGCAACAAACAAGAAACATAGTAAAGTTAATTTCAATTGAAGAGTTCCCAAGGCCTGTAACAAAATAAAACTCGGATTAGATGTGGGAAGTCGAACGCACACGGCGGCGTGTGTTGCGAGGCCATGTTGCGATTTATCTCCCCTGCTGTAAATAATTGCGTGTTTGGAATTATACCGGAGGAGACGTGGTGTGTTTGATGCACTGTCAGATTGCGTTTCGTGGTTGGAAATGGATTATAAAGCAGCACTTAATCAATTTCCAGTGCAAGTTGTGCGCCGACGTCCTTGTAAAGGTTCCCTGTCCGTAAATTGTTGTAATTATGACTTAATCTGTGAAATTTTCCATATATCACCACACCCCAAAACATTTTGCCATACAGGTTTTTCAAGAGTCGTATCTCATGGAAATAAAGTGTGTTTATGACCCGAGAACGGTATGGTAATGTGCCATAAAAATAGCCGAAAGTGTGCGCCGCTACTCTAGGTAATGATCGGATAATTTATGAAGGCCGGGGATCATCAGAGGTGGGCATGGTGAATCGCATTGTCCTTCCCTGCGGAGCATCTGTCATGATGAACGGGGGATGACATCAAACTTGTGCTAATCTCTCACCTTGTTGAAAGTCATACGCTCAGGCTCCTCTTCGTTTTCAGTCTGGAAAGCGGAAGATTTCTGCTCGTGTTTCATGAGTGAGACCCAAACTTGGGTTGGGCGCTCATACGATGCAAACATTGAGCCTTGGTGCTCATATGGGAAATTTAGGTTCGAATCTGGCTGTAAAACGTGTTTTCTTTTCGTTCTCCCTCTACAGCAGAAGATGATCCCTGCCAGACCAACCCGTGCCTGCATGGTGGGAGCTGTTTGACCGAGGGGGAGGGATACAGTTGCCTGTGCCCTCAGGGCTATTCGGGAGAGAGCTGCGAGATCGGTAAGTGGATTAAGAGAGAGGTCGGGGTCGGGACAAAAGAGGTCAAGGACGTTTGAAGGAGCCCACTGCAGCTTTAGAAGTGCACTCGAATTTATGCACACAGCTAAAATTGGATATAAAACCAATGCAAGCATCTCTTTTGAAGGTTATGCCTTTGACCCTTGATGTAAAACCAATGAATACGATTATTAGCAAGACGAAGACCTACAATGTTCGCCAAAATTTAATTTACCAGCATCTTGATCAGATGTCATCATTTTGGTCGGAGGTTATAAAGGAACTGTAGGTTAGGGAAATTGTAATAAAAATACCAGTGCCGAGGTAAATGAACATAATATACAAAAAAATAACACATTTTTAAAAATATATTGTTGTTGTTGTTGTTGTTGTTGTTGTTGTTGTTAGTTATACATTTATTTTACCGTTTGTCACTTTTTGCAGGTTTTTATTTATTTATTTAGTTTTTTTCATATTAATTTTAGTAGTAGTAGTAGTAGTAGTAGTTGTTGTTGATGATGTTGCTGGTAGTAATAAAATAAATAATATATATTATTAGTGAATTAATTTTTGTTATCAGAAATAACAACAATAATAATAATTAGTTTAATTATTTAATAATTATTAATTTATTTGAACTTTTGTCAATTTTACTGTTTTTATATCCATTGTTTTATTTTAATAGGAATTGTATTATTATAATTAGTAGTAGTAGTAGTGTTGTTGTTTATGTTGCTGTTAGTAATAAAATTTATAATATATATTATTAGTGAATTATTTTTGCATTAGAAATAAAAATTTATAATAATAATTATTATTATTATTGTTATTATATTTATTTTCCTTTTGTCACTTTTTACAGTTTTTATTTTCATTTTTATTTTATTTTAATAGGAATATTTGTAGTAGTAGTAGTAGAAGCATTTGTAGTTGTTGTTTATGTTGCTGTTAGTAATACAATTTATAATATATTGTTAGTAAATTATTTTTGGATTAGAAATAACATATTAATAATAATAATTATTATTATTATTGTTATTACTATAGAAAAAAATTTAAAAATTCACAATTAAACATACAAATGTGTTAAATTTTTTAAATATTTAAAATAAATTGTATAATATATATTTAAAAAGTGTTACAGGTAAATCATTTTGGCTGTAGGGTGTTCGGCTGACTGCAAAATTTGGGAACCCCTGGTGTAGTTGATATGAGTAGCTCTGCAGGTGGTTTACAGCAGCGGAGAGACCTGACAGCAAACTGCGAGGTGGCATGTACGGGAAATGGCTGCGTGATCTGACAGGGCTGCACACAGCTCATTCTTCTCTGTCAGACAAGAACAGGAACAGGTGAAAGGAGAGCTGGGCCGGAGGTTGGAAGGTTACGAGAAAATGAGAGCACACTCTAAAGAGGAGGGCAAGGCTATGCTGTGGAGAGAAAAAAATGAGAGAGGGATAAAGGGGTAGAAAAGAGACAGGAATAATATATATGAAACAGCTAGAACTGTAATCACTTGAAGAGGGCATGAAATGACAGTCTTCAGAACGCAGTTAACATCCATAATGTGGTATTTCTCAGTAATAATGTAGGTTAGAGTTTTATCCTTCTGAATTGGAGTGAATCATGAAAAGTGGACATGTTATTATTAGTACTATTACTATTACTCATACATAGGAGTAGTGGTTTTTCAAGATTTTAGACACATACATGATAAAACTTGCAGAAAAGGCCCTAAAAACCACCCATAACTCGTATAATGGCAATACTTTTTGTAGATGTTTCAGTAGATTGCTATCAGAACATATAGGTCATAATGGCCGATAACCCAAAATTCATGGGCTTATGAATTTGATGTCCGAAACTAAATGATGAATCGATGCAAAATGAAATGACCAATCAAAATTATTCTGATAAATATAAGCCATGATGGTCTATAGATGAAACACATCAAATTCTGTGCAAAGTGCATAAACGGTCTAGGATGAGTTTGAAAAGTATATTTTTTCAAAAAATCCAAATCCAATTTTAAAACTGACAATGATCAACAGTTTTATAGGATATCTCAAGGAATTGATTCTAGCTCACACAGTTCCAGAGTAATTAGTGAAAGTTTAAATCTGATAATTAAAGTGCCACCTAGTGTCTGACCGATGTACGTTCAGAGTGGGTGGGATGTGAGACCATCCTACCTAGTTTCAACAATTACAGTCTTTGACTACCAGTTTTAGGGCAGAAAAACATGACCAAATCAGACCAAACACTTGTAACTTTTGCTGGCAAAAATCTGTGCATATATATGTATCTATCTTTATATTTAACTTTTACCTTTTAATTGTAAAAAAAATTGCACTGCTTTTGTGCTCATAAGCTAAACAGACAGCTGAGGCCATAATAAGGTCATTACGGAGAGGCGTCTGGATGTCAAAGGTCCCAGCTGTGCTATGGTGGAGAGGTCAGAGGTTAGCAAAGCTGCATTATCCCGGGTCTCATTATCAATCTTTTCACGAGCCAACTGCACAGTCAATATGTGAATTATGCTAAACTACAACAAACAGTTGATCTGTCGCTAACACTTGTGCTAGTAAGCATAACAGTACGATACTAAGCAGCATGTACACTAATAACCCGTCTATAGATTTGATTCACAAGATATATTTTATCCCATTCTGCACAGCCTTAGGGATTCATTTCAGATTTTTGACGCAAATGGCATTTGGAAGAAAACAATTCGTGTTTATGTAATTACCGGAACACTTTTGGACGTCTAAAGTTCCTTCGGGTGATTTAGTAATTGGCTTTTCCTGTGGAGCATTCTGCATTAGCGGTGTGTGTAATATTAATTACAGCCAAAGGCAGAAAGTTAATTGCATATTACTGCAAACTCTTGACCACATTTTGTACTAGCCTAACACTTGATCTCTGCAGTCAATGTGTTGTCTTATGAAAGAAGGATGAATTATGTAGGGAAAGTGTTCTTTGATTCCCTTTTTTGTATTCATATTCATTACCGCGGTTTGCTAGGACTAGTCTTGCCCTGCTGTGCTGCATGCATGACTTTTTATGCTGCAAACATGAATAATATTGTACCTCAGATTGGGTGGTTTATTGAGGAAAGGTGTAGTTTTACAAGAGTTTGGACAGCATAAAATTGGTGGACAATGTGGGCACAAATTCCATAGACTTACATTGAACAAGGAACTCTGAGCCATATATACAAACCATAATATCATAGAGACCTAACAGTGGTCTCTTTTGGGCTTAGGCCTACAGCAACCACACAAAACACCCTAGAAACCACATAGCAACACCCTAGCAACCGCATTGCATCTCTTGCTGTCTGTCTTAGGAACAAAATGAGTACTGTCGTTACATGACACTGCAACATGATATCCTTGGACTCCATCCATTGGGACTCAGGTTGTGCTCAGCAATTTGGGAAGAGGCATTTAGGATCCTTGCATAATTTATTGACCGCGCATCTGCCGGGCAATTGAAACATTTATGAGAAAGAGCAAAGAGGCTTGCGGCAGGGACAAGATAACTTTCCTTAGACGCACCACATGCCAACATCAGCCAGACGAGCCTGTCCATCAATCTCCACGTGATTGCTCCCGCTCCAGGAGATACATGAACTGGATTGAGACACATCCTGAGTTTGGTGATGTTCATTAATTTAAGGAACGCTTGAAGAGTTCACACATTCATTTGAGACGCAAAATGGTGCAGAAATACCTTGACAGGTTTGGATTGCTATCCGTAACTCTTCTCAAGCATGAGAGACAACTCTGAAAATCCTCTTTCTGGACATATTGTGAGTTAAAGGAGTTTGGCATCGTATTCAGAACTTGTTAGAATGGACAGAAATGCATTTACAGTTATACAATTTTGACTTTAAATTAATGTTTTAAGTTCAAAATACACTTTTATTGACAAAATGCAGTCAATTACCATAAACAACAACTTTGATTCATCCCTCAGTTTGTAAAACTGGAAGTTTGTAAAGATAAAATTGCAATAATGCATATTTGGCGAGCCATTCTGGTGGGATTCCATACAAAAATGTGGGTTATTGAGCTGTATAATGTAAATATAATTTGAATATGCTATTTACATACTGTTGTGATTTGCAGCATTATTTACATATTATTCTCTCAGTAACAATAAAGATTATGGTGATAATGGAAGATCATGGTATCTCTCTATTTTAGTTTCTACATTCCGGAGTTAAAGGTCCATCAAATCAGCCAAGCTTAGATCAACAAATGAGTGTGGAGGATACTCAATGAGTCAATGGGTCACAACTGCTGCAAATGGGGATTGGGAGGCTGCGCAGTGCATTAAAACAATTGAAAAGCCAAATATAAATGCCGGCCGTCATATTTATTCAGCCTTCAGGGAAGTAGATGATGTTTCTTTCAAAGCTGAATGGCGCAGAGACAGTTTTACAGTGCACACGTAATGCAGTCAGACCGAAGCACACCCGTATGATTCAATACTCATTCACTTTGTTGCAAGCAGTCGATATGTTTAGTCTGAGAAGCAATTTAATCTCATCCAATAATATACTTGAAAGGGTTACGTTTTCATTGGATGGATCTGGAGTTTCACCAGGTCCTTATAATACACCATATACCATTTTATTTGCATATTTTAATACTTTAGTACTATAAAGTATTAAATACTATCTATATATGTACCATCCCACATTTTCCATCTCTCAGTCTCTCTTTTTCACTCTACTCATTCTCTTTTTCAGTGCTGCTCCCTCGACCCCTGTCCCCTCTGGCCTGTTGTTATTTGCCGGAAAGGCTGTATGAAAATTGCAATGCACTTCCAAAATGGAGTGAAAGCAGCCCTTTAGGTCCCCCAAGCCTTTTTCGCCAGTAATACATTGCATTTGCCTCCACCAAACTACCATATATTTTCTCCACCCTTAACCTCGTATGCATTTCCTCCATGGCTTTGTTTGGTCCCTCTACTCATATTGCAAACACACAGGCATT